TAAAAGAATCCAGAAAAAAGTATCAGTTCCCAAAAAAAAAAAAAAACATGAAGCAGCACAACTGTTTCCAACACTGATAATAAATCAGCATATTGGACTGAATTCTGAAGGATCATGTGACACTGAAGACTGGAGTAATGATGCTGAAAATTCTGCTTTGATCACAGAAATTAATTATATTTTAAAGTATATTCAAACAAAAAACAATATTACAAATTGAAATAATATCTCACAATATTACAGTTTTTTTTCTGTATTGACTGATTTCTGAAGGATCATGTGACACTGAAGACTGGAGTAATGATGCTGAAAATTCTGCTTTGATCACAGAAATTAATTATATTTTAAAGTATATTCAAACAAAAAACTATATTACAAATTGAAATAATATCTCACAATATTACAGTTTTTTTTTCTGTATTTTTGATCAAATAAATACAGCCTTGATGAGCACATGAGACTCCAAGTAAAAATCTTACTGATCCCAAACTTTTGAACGGCAGTGTATGTCAGAGCAACCTGATTTGGGCTGTAAAAATACATTGATCTGATGCTAAAAATTAAATGTATCAAATGTAATAACTGATTATAAGAAAGTTAATGCTGCGGTGTTAAAACTTCTTCTTTTTAAAAGCAAATTAAGGTAACACTTTAGGGACCAATTCTCACTATTAACTAGTTGCTTATTAGCATGCCTATTATTATCATATTGGCTGTTTATTAATACTTATAAAGCACATATTCTGCATGACCATATTCTACATCCCTAATCTTACCCAATACCTCAATTTAACAACTACCCTACTAACTATTAATAAGCAGCAAATTAGGAGTTTATTGAGGCAAAAGTCATAGCTAATGGTTTGTTAATAACGAGAATTGGACCTTAAAATAAAGTGTGACCCAAATTAACAGTTGCTTTCCTTCCCAAATTGTGAATTATTATTATGCGTATTTTGGAATATTTGGAGAATATACATAGAAATGTGCTTTAACTAGCCTTCACTCATTCCTTACGTGTTATACACCATTAATATGTGGCTGATTATGACCCTGTTTGATTTGATAATCTATATTCCCCTATACTGTACATGCATTTATATTTTAATTATTGGTTCAATAAATTCTCATGTCTGTTTGTGTTAGTTTACAACATAATCCCTTTTATTGGATAAATAGCAAATGTATATTACTTCTTTATCCAAAATTTTATTTTTGAGGCTGTGAATGTAAAGCCTGATGTCTTAGTTTGTCCATATCAACTGTAGTAAAAACTGTTTCTCCAATATTTTTTTTTTAAATAATTATAAAACCTTTCAAAACATACTTACACCCCTACATTTAACATGTAATAAATGTTACATAAATAATACACACACACAGTACAGATAGATTCAGACAGATTAAAAGCATGTATTTTAAAGTGGAGATTATTAGTTATACATGTGCTTGAAGAACTAGATCTCATATACACACACACACCTTCACTTGTGTCCTCACACTTCTGTCCTCACTTCTTCAGTAACAAATCCATGGAATACCAGATTGCAAAATCCGCTCTCTGAAACAAAGCAAAAACACAAACAGGGACACGGTTTGTGAGCTGTTCACACAGACTTATGTTTGGCAGATGAGGGAATTTGTCCTCGTCAGGGTCTCGGCCCTACAGAATTCAATCAAAACTGGCTAATCTGCTTTATTTGGCTTGCATTGGGCGCAAAGGCAATTTCCAGCTAAAGGCGTTAAGGGCTTACTTCAGCAAGGTAATTGATTGTTTGAGATGAGAGGGGAAATTAGATAACACAAATGCTAAAAGTGGTTGGTATCTATACAAAAAGAGAGAACAGTGCCCTTGTGTTTGCCATAGTTCTGTAAAGCTAATGAGGAGAAGACTAAAACTGAAGTTAAGGACGAGTGTCAAATTACATTGGACAAACATTTAAATAGCCTTTTTGTCACTTAAAAATGGGGTGCCCCTTTCACTCCCCTGTCTTTAATTAATTACTAATTACACTGTTATAGAGAACTGCAGGCCTTTCAGAATTAATCAACTCTTCTGCACTGTGATTAGTCGTACATGCTCAACTGGAATTAAAGGGTTAGTTCACCCAAAAATGAAAATTCTGTCATTAATTACTCACCTTCATGTTGTTCCAAACCCATAAGACCTTCGTTCATCTTCGGAACACAATTTAAGATATTTTTGATGAAATCTGAGAGCCTTCTGACCCTCCCATAGACGCCATTACGCCGGATCTGGACCAGCGCCGCCACACGCTCGCGTCATGATACTGTCATGAACACGCGTCCACAAGTGACGCAGTAGAGACGAAAATGTGGAATAAAGCTGTTATTTTTGTTTTCTTTGCGCAAAAAAGTATTCTCGTAGTTTCGTAACTTTACAGTTGAAGCACTGATGTCACACGGACTACTTTGTCGATCATCTTGGTACTTTTCTGGACCTTGAACATGGTAGTTACCTTGCTGTCTATGGGAGGGTCAAAGAGCCCTCATATTTCATCCAAAATATCTTAAATTGTGTTCCGAAGATGAACAAAGGTCTTACAGGTTTCGAACAACACGAGGGTGAGTATTTAATGACCGAATTTTCATTTTTGGGTGAACTAACCCTTTAAATCGCATCAAGTTGTATCTCTTACAGTCTTGTGTTTAATTAAAGGAAAAGTGCACTAAAAAACGAAAACTTGCTGATAATTTACTCACCCTCAGGCCATCCAAGATGTAGATGAGTTTGTTTCTTCATTTGAACAGATTTGGAGAATTTTATCATTACATCACTTGCTTTACTCAATGGATCCTCTGCAGTGAATGGGTGCCGTCAGAATGAGAGCCCAAACTGCTGCTAAAAACATCACAATAATCCACACAACTCCAGTACATCAGTTAACATCTTATGAAAAGCTGCATCTTATGAAAAGCTGCAATAAACAAATTCGCCATTAAGATTTTTATCCTCTATCCATTATATTGCTTTCCCCCATGAAAAAAATCTTGCCTGAATCAGAAGAGAAATATGCACAGATCAAGAACGTCCAACAACCAAAACAGTTGTAAATATGTCAGTGGATTTTGATATAAGAGGACAAATTAGGGAATGGACTTTTTCACTGCAAGAAACGTTATTATGGATTTTGGCCAAAAGCAATGATAGTTGAAATGTATTGATGGATTTGTTTCCTACAAACACGCAGCTTTTCACTTCACTAGACATTATTTATGGACTGTAGCCGTGTGGATTACTATAACGTTTTCATCAGTCATTTGGACTCTCATTCTGACGGCACCCATTCACTGCAGAGGATCCAGTAATGTGATGCAATGCTAAATTTCTCCAAATCTGTTCCGATCAAGAAACTCATCTACATATTGGAGACCCATTTATGGCCCTAACATACAGCCTGCAAATGCAGAGTTGATTTAAATAAAATCCTCTTGCAAAATATACAATCACCAAAAAAGAATTTCAAAGTCATATGGATCCTTGTGCTTCTTGCATTAGTAAATGACTTTGTAAGTGGAAGGTCAGTGCACAGCAGCTGGGCAGGCGCCGGCCTTTCCCATCCCAGCTGGAAACACTTACAGAATGAATGGACCAAGGGACTCCAAACAACCACCCACAAGTGTCTGCCCTTTGCTGCTTTGTGTTCTAATATAGCTGTATTGATTTTATGTTTCTCTGTGAGGGGAAAAAAGGAAAGAAAGGCAGGAATCTTACTTTTTGGGAGTCCATAAATGACAGCTGTAGAAACCTAAAGGAAGAGGAAAATATGGAGGGTAATGGAGCTTTCAAGCTTGTAAAAGGATGCAGTAAGTAAAAGCAAAATTTAAGTAAAAGCAGCCCATGAAATTTGTGCACTACATTCCAAGTCTTCAAAAGCCATATTATAGATGTGTGTGAGGAACAAATTGAAATGTCAAGATTTTCAGTCAGTAATGTCCAGTTGGTGGAAAAAGTCAGATCTTTTCAAAGAATCAATTGATCTGTTTTGGAAACCCAGTCTAAATGATTCATTTACAAATCATATCGGATGATCCAGTTTTAATCGAGCACCAATTAACAACTCACTGGAGGAAAGAGTATACTAAAATTAATGACCAAGTTAGCATATGAATTCAGAAGGCTTAAAATACATAAATCATCTTCTGATTGGGGTCTCAAAGACCTAAAGTATAAAGCTTAAATTCAATGAATTTTCTTCTTCTGGGATTCTCAGAATCACAGGGTTCACTGGGCACTGAAATGCTTTTAAGACCTGAGCTCCAGGTCGGTTTTGTTAGGGTCATCAACAGCAAGAAATAAGCATTCCTCATCAACAGCAAGAAATCAGCATTCCTTTTTGTTTTTGTTGTTTGTTCATTTTTCTGTACTTTGTCATGTCTTTTGTCAATTTATCACATTAAAGGCATATCATTTGTTTGATTATATTTTCACCTATGCTTCTTTGCTGATGGACCACAGACATGGGAGTTGAATCCAAATTAGATTCAATAGGCTATGGTTTGAGCATAATTTTCAAAATATAAAATATATATATTTCAGTTTCAAAATCATCTGCTGTTAAATCTAATCAATAACTATATCCAGAGCCAGAAAGATGATGATGAAAAATAATGTTTTCATACCATTTATTGTTATTGAGAGCTGCTGGTAGGTATTGTAAACACTGTGGAGCAACAGTGAACACGTGGAACGCATTTTAATTGTGTTGGACGTTGTGTTGGTGCCACCTGCCGGACGGTGCTAGTAGTGCAGAGGACATGCACTGGTTTATGTATATGTTGTTTAAACTTACACTGAAAAACTAATAAGACAATGCAAAGCTTTCCAATTTACCTTCGAGGCACAGTCGAGGCTCGTCTTTTAGATCAAATTAAGCAAACTAAAACTAGAGTCGCATTTTACTTTGGTGTTAGGTAATTTAACCCTTATATAATACATAAATAGAGGTTATAATATAAAACCTTTATAGTTACTGTAATATGTTTTTTATTGCCCTCAGCCATAAAAACACCAAAACAAACTGTTCACCAAATAAACACTTATTAAACAGTTTGTACATGTCCCTAACCACATCATTTTCACTTACTGTTGATATAAAACATAATTTGATTCACATTACAGGTTCCTGTATGTATGAGAGCAGATATGAAAACAAAAAGCAAAAAGTGTGTAAACTCTTAACTTTATAATATTTTATATTCTTTCCCCCCAAGTTAAGTAATTATGATGCCATAAATGAAACATTAGACACCCTGCCTTCAGATCTCTTTTCTACATGAGTCTGGAAGTGCACTTTCAGATGATATGACTGTTGAAATCTTTTTCCGCAGTCCAAGCACTGGAAGGGTTTCTCTCCCGTGTGAATCCGCAGGTGTCTCTTAAGGCGGGAAGAACTGAAGAAACTCTTGTTACACTGAGAACACGAATAAGGCCGTATGCCTGTATGGTGCCTCATGTGGACCTGCAAGTAGCAGGCTTGCGTGAAACTCTTTTTGCAGTCTGAGCATTGGAAAGGTTTATGTCCTGTGTGGTAGCGCTGGTGCTTAAGCAACTCTCCAAGGGAGAAAAAGGCCTTTCCGCAGTCTGCACAAAGGAATGGTCTTTCTCCGGTGTGTGTGAGTTTATGCCGGGTCAAGCTGGCCTTGAACCCAAATGACTTGTCGCACTGAGTGCATTTAAAAGTTTTCTCTGTGCCGTGGCTGTCCGAGTGTGAACAAAGAGAGTTCTCTATATTAGAGTTCTTCCCACATGGTTTCTCTTTGGAGTGGGTCCTCTGGTGTTTCGCCAAAGCCCCGGGGTACAGAAAACCCTTTCCGCAGTCCATGCAATGGTATGGTCTCTCCTCCAAATGGATGCGCTGATGAGCCAAAAGAGCACCACGGTATGTGAAGCCCTTCCCACATGTACAAAGGAATGGTCTCTCTGGTTGATGGGTCAGCATGTGTCGTTTGTACGAGGTTGAGCAGATGAAGGTGGACTGACATTCGGTACACTTATAGGGTCGTTCCTCTGCATGGATCCGCTTGTGTCTGATTAGAGCTGCCTGACAGCTGAGCTGCTTCCCGCAGGCGTTGCAGCGATGCACTGCTTCTTCAGGGTGGGTCTTGTGATGGTCTCTCCTGGCGCTGAGCGAGCTGAAGGTCTCTACACAGTACAGACAGTCATAAGTTTGGGATTCTGGCTTTTGTGTTTTGTTTTCCTCAGGAACATCATTTGGTGATGTTAGGATGGCCACATGAACGAGTCTATGGCGACGGAGGGCATAGGAATGGGAGAAACTGCGCCCACATTTAGATACCGGACAGAGAAAAGGACGCTCTCCGGTGTGGGTGCGCTGGTGGGCTTTTAATAAGCATGGGAAGCTGTAGCTTTTGCCACAAACATGGCAGCTGTTGGGCAAAGAGGGGTCGACTGCAGTCTCACTTCCCATAACCTTAGTGGAGTGGACTTTCATTATGTGACTTCTGAGGTTTTCCACCTGAGAGTGATTGAATGGACACTGCAAGCATGAGTATGTGTGAGAGGATCCATCTGTAAAAATAAACAATCATCAACATAGTCATTCATTCATTTTTTGATATGTACCTCTATGGCATCTGTACATCAGAACCTCAAAATAAATAGTGGAGTGATTAGAAAGTGACTCACTTGTGTTATCTAAGGTGCAATCAGATGTATCAGACTCCACAGGGTGACCCCTAAAATCATTTAACAACAGTACCACAATAAATAGATGTGCAAGTTAAGGTTGTGAAATGTCATGTGTTATGTGACTCCTCAAAAAAGTCATATATATGAATTAATAATTCATATTTTAAAAAAATAAAAAAATGTACCTTGAAAAAAATAAAGCATTAATAAAACATTTAAAAGATTAAGTACATTTATTGATACATATGATGTATTATACAAGAAATAAATATATTACTTTTTATTTTAAAGTTATACCATGTGATATTTTTTAAGTCTAAACTGAAATGGAAAACTGAATTCTTTCTTGAAAATTGCTAAAAGGGTTTTTGAAACCAAATGCAACTATTTTTATATTATACTATTTATAAAAAAATTTAAGTAGCGTCTAAGTTTTATATTTTCCGTTTTTTTATTTAAGTTAGTAATTTTGTGCTTTGTCATTTGCAGTTTGTTAGATTGAATTTATTTTTATTTCTGTTTTAATATTTTTAGCAATTCAATTTAAACGTATTTGTTTTGTTATGTTAAAGTTGTTGTTTTTTTAAGTTAAAGTTTATAATATTTATATTTTATTTTACTTCAGCTTTATTTCAATTACAGAAAATGGCTTTTAATAGTGAACAAAAACAACACTTGAAACCAACATTTCTAAGAGCCCATGTAAGTCATCTTAACTCAGATATGAATTTCAACAACCTATACTATAGTATAATAAACAATATTTGCTCTGTGTAGTGTGTACCCAATTTGTTTTAATGAAGACATTAGGAGTCACACATATGTTCAAGAATATGTTCTTACATATTCTTATGTTATATCTTACGATCGCGAGCATAGTAATACTAATGTTGAAACTGCGACAACAATAAGCAAATGATGAGCTTACTTGTTTTCTGAGGTAACGGAGTCTACCTCTGCCTGATGCTGCAGGTTTGTTCCATACGTTTTCTTAGAAGTTGCTGGTTTTCTCGTCAGCTTTTGTAGGTTGACCATTTTAATCTTCAACGCGGTTTTAGGCTTCCATGCAGATCTGCCCTTGCCCACAATTATTTTGGGTACAGCACTATTTTCAGACACTGATTGCGCAGACAAAGGAGATGATAGAAACTCTGACGGTTCAGTATTAGAGTCTGATTCCTCTATTACATCTGTAGATCTGTGGTCTTCTCGAAGTGTTAGCCCAGAATCATTTAAACCCACACCTCTTGCACACTCTGATTCTAGAATGAGATGCTCTCCATCTTCATTCGGTCCTACCAGAGTCTCAGCACATTCAGATGCTCCTACTACTGACTCCACGGCACTTTTCTGAATGTGGTCCGAAGTCCGTCTGTCGAACATCTGAACGTGACCTACTGTTTTCTGATGGATGTCACCTGCTTTGCCAGAGAGTGTGGACAGGATGCAGTTTCCTGCATTTATGGGCTGACAAGAATCTGCCACAATATGGAAATATACTGTTAGAAACAGAAGCTACCGTGACTGTTATTGGTTTCAGCAAATTGTTGAAGACAAACAGGCTTCATAAAATTCTTACATTTGGTATCTAGATGTCCAAGGTTCTTGTAGTGCTCAAACAGTGTCTTTAAGTGATCTGAATGACTATTGAACTCCTCACACTCTTTAGAAACAGGCAACATTGGGTCAAGCCAAGCCAGAGTCTAAAACCAAAAGGTTAGCAATAGCAAACTTAGGACATATACAATTCTTTTTTGACCTAATTTATTAGAAAATCTTTCATAAATATTGAAAGTGTTGTTATCATTAACTAAAACAATTAAAAAAACATTTCTGTTAAGTGAAAAAAGCTGAAGTAAAATAAATGATCAATATTAGATGAAAAACATAAACTAAAGAAAAATTTAGTTGAAGAACTAAAATTACTAAATGAGAAAAACTAAACATGCAATAAAACTAAAAATGAAATTAATATAAATAAAAGCTATTTACAAACTTTAAACTAATAAAAATGTATTTTAATTCAATTAAAATATAAAAAGAGCTCATTCAAAATATTAATAAAACTGTTATAAAAGTTTATAAACAATACTAAAATAACACTGTTGAAATCACGATAATCCAAATATCCATAATATATGCCTTAAAGGACTAGATCATAGTGGATAGTTTCTCCCAAAGTAGTACTATAATATGATACAAGATGATAAAAAATAGTGTTTTAGTTTTCAGTGTCATCTTTGCAAAAACTCCAGGTTGAATAAAATAGGTTGTAGCTCCCAAACACAACTTCTAGGATTCTAGAATGCCTCGTGACCCACCTGCTGAAGGTCAGGAATTGGCAGGAAGTGCTCCAGCCTAGACAGGAAATGCCACATCAGGACCTGAATGGCTGAGTCAAAGTCAGTGCCGAAATCCACAGGAAACACGTGCTATAGAAACCAGAGAGAAGGACAGAGAAATAAGCAAAACAAAGAATCAAAAGCACCCTTAACATAATGTTTATAAGATCTGACCAGGAAGAAATGCTCCTTCTCATCCACATCTTTAATAAGTGTTTGGACCAGCTCCACAAAACCAACACCTGCTTCTCCAACCACAGTGCGATCCACCTGTTTGACATCACAATCGTTTTCATTTCTTGTTAACACTTTACAGTGTTTGAAACACTGGAACAACGAAAAGCTAGAATTGCTCGAAAGTATCAGTAATAAGACATAATTATAAAATGATGAAAATTACAAGTTGAATGCTGTTGAGGTGAGTATGAATTGCGTGCATGTCAGCAGCGTTGTCTCTCTCACACAACTCCAAAACAAGCTAGATGCAAGAAGAAAAAGAGTATTCGTTATCAGACAACTATTCAGCTATGATTTTTCCATGAATAATATATTTATTGAAGCATTTGACCAACTCATCTGTGGTCACTTACCTTTGCACGCAGTCCTAGAATGAGTTGAACTCCAAGTTTATGACTAACCAGTTCTGGAACTGCCTCTGACACCAATGAAACCAAATCTGCCAGCATCCCATACTGCTGCACATCCTTCTGCTGTACAGTTCTCCACATGAAGGCAGACATGAGGCGCACAGGAGGGACCAAGAGGCGCAGGGCCGAGAGAGAGAGAGGAATTCTGTCTGGAATTACATTTTAAAGCATTGTCAAAATAAAACAACCATGATCAGGTCAGTGGAGTTAGGGTGAGTAAATATTAAAATTGCAATTAAAAAGCAATTGTTTGTAGCTGTCTAAAGAGTTAAAGTTCAAATATCTGCAAAGAAAGAAAATTCTTCGATGATAAATGACACACTTGCGGCATTTCTAACAAATAAACAAAACAAAAACTCTCACCTAAGTGCTCTTGTCTGGGGAATTCACTGTCCATGATGTAGTTATTTAGCTGCTTTTCTTGAAGTCAAGAATCTCACGTGTTACTTGTCAAATCGCTCATTTCTGTTGTGCAGAATTTAGTAGATTTACCACGCAAAATTACATTACAAGTCTCGAATGTTTTGGGTGTGAACACAGCTCTGACGACGACATTACGAAATAGTTTCAAAATAAAAGCTTGAGGCGTCCGCTAAAATTAAACGAAATAATTAAATAAATAAAATGCTGCTACAAGTGCTTCGGTGTTTAAAATAACAAACGCAGATGCTTCACTGCTATGCTCATCGTGTCATTCAGATTTTAGAAATCTAAATAAAAACTCTTAAAGCTGTCTAAATGAATGAAAGAAAGAAAGTTATATACTGTAAAAAAATATATTTGCAGATGTATTTGTTGCAGTTATTACTATCGATATATCATGTCATTCATGTTTTAAAAACCAGAAGCAATCACATAAAAGTATTTTATTAATGTCTGTAATTGATATTATATTTTAAAATTCATTTATTCTTTTAAATAATACAACTCCCTGTGGCTAGAAGGGATACAGCTAAACCCGGAAGCTACCAATAAATTACATTTTCTACCTATTAGATTGTGTTTTATGAACGTCTACACCTACCCCAACCCTAAACCTACCCCTTACAATAATGCAAAAATAGTAATTATTGTTGTACAGTGTGACAAAACTTACGCTGTATTAATGTGCGCATGCCCAGTAGCGCCGTATGTATCCCTTCTAGCCTTTAAACCTTCCAAGGGGTGTTTCCAGACCTGACCATTAACAATCGAATCCACTTACATACGGAGCTTCAAAAGAAGAGGCTGCTGCAGAGTGAGAAGGCTGTGAAAGTGTGCAGACTAGCAAGTGTTTTATATTAGGTATAATAAGTGCTTTATATTAAAAGTCACCATGGCATTTGTAACTCTTAATAATGGAGCTAAAATGCCAATTTTTGGACTGGGAACATGGAGGGTGAGTATTCACTTTTCTTTTTTTTTGTTTGTTTGTACAGTACAGTTTCATTCTGGATGGTTTCAACTATAGCAATTGTTTTTTTTTTTTCTGCTGTTGCTTATTGTAGTTTACCAATTAAACACTGGAAATAGTTCTATTTAATATTAATGCTTTTCACGTTTTATTTGTCATTTCTGAGATTTTATCATATTTGCAAGGTAGCCTATATTAAGATTTAATAGTAACATATTGAAACCTGCTCCAGTCTGCTCCAGGTGAGGTCACAGAGGCTGTAAAGGCAGCCATCCTGGCCAGCTACCGCCACATTGATGGAGCCCATGTGTATGAAAATGAGAATGAAGTTGGGGAAGGAGTCAATGCCATGATTAACCAAGGAGTGGTGAAGAGAGAGGACCTATTCATAGTCAGCAAGGTAGAAGCACATGTAAAAATTTGTATCTGAGGCACATGACAGGAGTCATGGTCTCACAAGGCCAATAATGTGCCTTGCAATTTCACACAACATCAAACCATGTCACAGATCATACACAAGGCATTTGTATAACATGTATTATTGTGTGTTATAATCCACTGTTACGTCATGCTTTGATTACAGTTAAAAATGTAGAAAAATGCTCAACAAATACATTATTTGAAAGGAACTTTGGCCATTAATTAAATCCTGCATTTTTTTTACAGCTGTGGTGCACTTACCATGAAAAACACTTGGTAAGAGGAGCCTGTGAAAAGACTCTAAGTGACCTAAAACTGGACTATGTTGATCTCTACCTAATGCACTTTCCCATGGGCACTAAGGTAGTACTAATAAGTATATAACTAATAATAAAATAAGAATTGCTTGTTTTTTCTGTGCATAATGTATACTGATCTGTGTATTAAAATTGGCAGCCTGGAAAGGAGTTTTTCCCATTCGATAAGAATGGCCAAGTAATTCCAGACAACAGCAACTTTCTAGAAACATGGGAGGTAATACATTTGAGATTTGTGTAACTTACATTTGATAGTTGATAAAAGAACAATTGCTGTTTACTGTACATTAATGTTAATGTCTTCTCACAAAGGCAATGGAAGAGTTAGTGGATGCTGGGTTGGTCAAGGCCATTGGTGTCTCCAACTTCAACCGGGATCAGATTGAGAGAATTCTCAATAAACCAGGACTCAAGTACAAACCTGCCAACAATCAGGTAATGTGTTGTTTGCAGTAAATCTGAAGAACTTAAAGCGGATTAAGACTTTGCAGTTCACTGGTGCCAAAATCTTTCCAATAACTGCTTTTCACCTCCAGATCGAGTGCCATCCATATCTGACTCAGGAGAAGCTGATTAACTACTGTCAGTCCAAAGGCATTACAGTCACTGCATACAGTCCTCTGGGTTCCCCAACCAGACCATGGTAAGCACTCTAATTCGTTAGTTCATTAATAGTGAGATGGCTATACATTACTTAATGTAGATTTGACTTGCTTTAGGGCACAGGCAGGTGAGCCATCACTGTTGGAGGACCCAAAAATCAAGGCCATTGCAGATAAGCATGGTAAAACCACAGCACAGGTAGGTGTAAACGTGCATTTTTTTATGACTAAATTCACGTATCCATCAACTTTGAAGTACAGTGTTTTAATGTAAGTTGACCCTTGTAATATTTGCATTATTACTAATGCCTTCATTATATGACATGCTAAGCAAGGAATTCTTTCCAGGTTCTAATCCGCTTCCACATGCAGAGGAATGTTGTGGTCATTCCCAAATCTGTAAACCCTAAGAGAATCAAAGAGAATTTCGAGGTATTTCCAATTGAATTAAACCATGTTCTACATGTTGCACAAGTACACCAGATATACAAGAATAACCCAATCAGTTTTTGTAAATGGTCAACATACTGTATACTTTTGTCCCTACAGGTCTTTGATTTTGAACTGAGTAAAGAAGAGATGAACACCATACTGAGTTTTAATAGAAACTGGAGAGCTTTTATGCTGGAATGGTGAGTCATCGTTATGCAAATTTGCAGTGGACTTTGTATCCATTTGTGTAGTATTAGGTCTCTAGAAGTGTTAACTAATGGCCTCCTTTGCCTTATTATTGCAGGGCTTCCAAGCATAAGGATTATCCATTGAATGCAGAATACTAATTAATCCAGTTTCTAACTGCAATATGAAGTAAATGTGACTTCTGCATTTCTCATCAGGGATAAATGAAGTATGTCAGTAATCTGGTAAGAGATTGCAAGAAAGATATGAGCAAAACCACTATCAACATTTACTCAACTGTAATACTGTCATTTGAGGGACTAAATGTGGTTAATTGTAAAGTAAACGTCAAGTGAGCAGTTCAAGACACGAGAAACACATTTAAAAACGTAAGCCAGAGAGCTGTTTGACGCAGAACTTTATTTGGATTTTTAAAAGCATACATCAATACAGTAAACAAGAGCTGCTCTTGTGAACTGGAAGTGCTTCTGTTGTCATTTTATGAAATTAAGGAGTGTGTATTAATTAATATAAAAAATATATATATTCAAAGGACCAATACTTTCTCATGTTATCTGCCCAATTGTGCAAAATGTGTGACATTGTTCAAATAAAAAAGAAAAAAATGTTACTAGTTTCTCAGACTTCCTTATGATTCATTTGTATTGTTTTGTCATAATACATTTAATGCAAGTCTTTTTACATCTGTTCTAAAGTAGTAACAGCTTAAAATGGTCAAAGCATTAACAAATATGACTTTATGGGCAAAGAAAGAAAATTCATTTGAAGTATAGTGGCTGCTATAATAAGGCTTGCTTTAAATTCCAAACCTGCAAATCACATATCACAGTACCTCTGTAAGGAAGTTTCTCAGTAACTAAGTTTCTTAAAGCAAAATGAAGAGATTTTCACATTAATCAAAGGCAAAATCAGCAATCTCGGAAACAAGGAACCTGTTTTTAAACCGCATGCTCCAAGATGTCTTCTTTTAATACTCAGCATTAAATGGGTAGTCTTTGTGCTTCACACCCCTGCGTTGACAGAAAAACGCATTGTTAAATGATGAATAAATTAGAATTTCACAAAAATATTTTTTTCCCCTTTTCATATATAGTAAAACCAGGGTTCCCGCTCCATTTTCCACTTGTTTGTGATTACTGGATATTGATTTATATATATATATATATATATATATATATATATATATATATAATTTTATAGAGACTGTACTCAGTAACAACTATTTCTAGTACATCAGGTGACTGCAAAGTTTAGAATTTTTAAGACTTGTTTAGGACAAAGTAAAGAAAATTGAAGGAATAAATTGAATGGAATACAATTATGGACTCTAAATGTAAATGTCTTGTATTAGCAAACCTTCTAAGACTGAAACACAAACAATCAAGAGATCTCTGTTCTATTTTGATACATTTTACAAAAAAAAAAAAACTCTCTCAACCACTAGAATATGTAAATAACTTTTACTGTACCCTCTGATCACACTGAAAAAAAGTGGTACTTGTTGTTATGTTTTTTCTCCCCCAGTGCAAATGTCCAAAGATTCTTAAAACAAGACACATTTACTTGAGTATTAAAGTGCCAGAAAATAAAAAGACTTGCTTTATGATATCAAAATGTAGCGAGTTTTTGATTAAAACAACAATATCTGCCAATGGGTTTTTGAAAAATCTACTTAATTAACTCAAATGGAAAACAAGTTTTAATAATAACCCATTGGCAGATATTTGTTCTCATTTTAGGCATTAACTTAATTTTGTTAAATTTCTCAGAAAACAAGACGTTATATCTTTAATATTTACACCTCAAGTAAATGCATCTTAATTAGCAATATTTAGATATTTGTATTGGAAAACAAAACAACCGTACTGAAGATATTCACTTTTTGCAGAGCATGCAACAATTCATGTCATGACTTTATGAATTTAATACTTTCTGCTCTGATTTTAATCATTTTAAAGCCTTGATTTGTGAAAGTGCTAATTAAGACCTGCAAATACTATAATTTAGTTTGACTACAATTGACTACAAAACTATAATTTATATTGACTACACTCCTATGACTTTATTTTTTCCAAGATTTTATTAATTTCCATAACAGTTCTAAAATTCCATGATGACCATAACCTGGGAACCCTGTGAAAGATACTCACCACTGCATTGGACAAGCCCTGAAATTCTTGTTGAAGCCCAAAATGGACTTCATGTCCTCCTGACTCAACTCAAAATCAAAGACCTTTTGGTGTAGAAAAAATATAAAAAAGTCAAACAATCAAAATCAATCAATCAATAATCATAATAATTCAGCATACTGATACAGTACTAGCAACACTATGATTCCAAGACTTTATTGAGAGTGTGACTTCTGAAGATGAACTTACTTGAAAGTTCTCTTGAATACGCTGAGGTGTGATGGACTTAGGGATGACGATCACATTCCTCTGAATGTGGAAGCGGATGAGAACCTGTGCATTAATGTTAAATAAATATTATTCTATAAGTCAATAACAAGCTTTGACATAAGTAGGACGAAGGTCTCCTCACCTGGGCAGTAGTCTTTTTGTGCTTCTCTGCAATGGCCTTGATTTTTGGGTCATCAAGCAGTGAGGGATCTTCAGGTTTAGCCCTAAGTTTGTGAGAAAGCTCATAGGTTATTCACAGAAACCATATATAAAGTCACCAACTGCACCTTGAACCTTCATAGCAAATAAATTACAAAGCTTCAGCATCTGGGAATGGCGGCCTACCAAGGTCTGTCTGGAGAACCCAGAGGACTGTATGCAGTGACTGTAATGCCTTTGGACTGACAGTAGTTAATCAGCTTCTCCTGAGTCAGATAGGGGTGGCACTCGAACTGAAGAAGAACAAAATAAAATAATAAAAATAAATATTTAAACAAAAATACAGTATAAAAAAACATAGGATTTTTTTAAATAATCACTAACTAATGTAATCAACCAGTGTCCCACGATTCATCAGAAGCTGATTTGATGCTCAAGAAACATTTCTTATTATTATCAAAATTGAAAACAGTTGTTCTGCTTACCTTTTTTTTTTCTGCATATAAATGCTGTTTTTTAACTTAGATATTCCAGATTATTCATACATGAAACAAAACATACTGCACTCCCTATAACAAAATCTCCCTTATAACAAGCATTAGGCCTGCGGACTAAAAGTCAAGCAGCGTCCTAATGATATTTTAAGCCTATATCCAGACAAATAACTGCGCCTGTTCTTGACAAGTAGCAGGAAATTGAAGGAGTATTGAATTACACAGTTGCTGTGGGCGAAATGCTGGTCATTAGATATATATTGACCTTTCTTGGGCCGTCTGTAATTGTCAAATGAAAGCACACTGATGCCTATTAAAGAGTATACGGTACCGACCTGATTGTTGGCAGGTTTGTACTTGAGTCCTGGTTTATTCAGGATGGCTTCGATTTGTTCTCGATTAAAGTTGGAGATGCCAATGGCCTTAACCAGCCCAGCATCCACTAACTCCTCCATAGCCTAACAAACATTATGCCATAATTACACTTAATTAAATACAGCTAAAACAATTGCTGGAATTGCAATAAAAATCTGTTATGAATGCAGAAATATGTCAAACAGATTAATTTGTTAAGAAGGAATGTGAATGTTTACTTTACAAATCAAATAGGCTAAATCAAATCCATGTCCTCATACCTCCCAGGTGTCCAAGAAACTGGTGTCATCACCAATGGTTAACCCTTCACTGTCCAGTGGGAACTGATCTGGCCCAGACTGAAAAGCAATGATGAATGTATTTCTGAATATTGTTACACAGTGAGATGTTAGCTTTCATTGTGAAGATCAACAATAAATACTATAAATAAATGACAGACAGGAAGGTGTTTCATATGGACTTTCTCAAAACTTTTTAATATATCACCTTAAAGCCCATTGGCCAGTGAACCAGGTAAAGATCCAGGTAGTCCAGCTTCAGGTCACCTAAAGTCTTCTGGCATGCTCCTTTCACTAAGGCCTTCTCGTGAAAGGTGCACCAGAGCTGTGAAACAAAATGACATGCAATGAATTAGTTTTCCTTCATCACAAAGCTACTAAATCAGCACTTGACCTTCCATTATTAAAAAAAACATTCTTGAGATAAATGGTGCAAGCTGGCATACCTTGCTGACCACAAAAAGTTCTTCTCTTTTAACCACACCATCTTTTATCATGGCCTGAATTCCCTCTCCGACCTCCATTTCATTGTTGTACACGGCGGCGCCATCGATGTGTCTGTACCCTGCAGCGATGGCTGCCTTCACAGCCTCTGCCACTTTACCTGGAGGAGACTGGAAAGAAAACGACAGAATACAAATCACCAAAAAGGAAAGGAAAAAGAAAAATGGAAATGATATGGGAAAGGAAAGGAAAAAGAAAAATAGAAAGGAAAGGGGCAAAAAATGAAAATGAAATGGCAGGAAAATCTAAATGAAACAAATAACTGCACAGTGTAAACTGGTTTGCTTTTTCCCCAATATGATTCTGCATATGCACATTAACAACAATGTTCTTTCTTCGTTAGTCACTTCAGTATAAATTCACCTCTCAATATCTCATCTTATCTATCAAACAAAGGAGGTATTGAATGTTATCAGTTAATAGCCAAGCAAAAGACTGATAGAGGTAAAATTGCTTACTCACTATGACCAAACTACTTTCTCTAGACACAGACATTCATTTTTTGAGGATTGCTGCAGTTTATTTATCATCATTACAAAACGTTAAAACCAAACTTTTCATAACAGTCTTTGCAACTTCTCTCGTCTGAACTACGCCCTGTAAGACTCCTTTCGCACTTTTTGCAAACTCATTATTACTGTGCAACATCAACTTATTCTTTTGAAAGTGTCTTTTCTATTCTATTCATATTTCAATATTCCACATGCAACGTGCCAGCTAAATGAATGCACTTATATAATGTAACACGATCTCTCATAGAAGTTAGATCATACCTTCCATGTGCCCAGTCCGACGATGGGCATATCTGCCCCGGTATTGAGCTTCACAGACGTTGCCATGGTGAAAGCGAAATTAAGCACTAGCTATTTCAACAGACTAGCTCCAAACTCAACCGCCTGTGAGGTGGAGGAGTTCAGCTAGCTCTGGATCGATTGCTCTTGTCTGGAATTTTGTGTCGACGGAGCGACGTAAGGCAGACGTAAGGTGACGTCGCTGAATATTTACCAATAAAACCCTGCTGTCAGGAAAAATTGTTTTTCATTTGCATCAAGCGTAGCATATTGTGACGCATAATTATTTGCATTTTAAATCAAATGTTTGCACGTAAAATGCAATGTTCATTTATTTACAATACAAATGCAGAGTACAGAACAGGCATGGCTCCCGTGAATGAGCTGACTGAATTAACAGGTTAACTCAGAAAACAAAAATAAAGGAACACTGTTAACAAAAATGTACAAAAAGGCAATCTCTTTTGTTTATTGTTTGACCAATAATTTATACATTTAACAGTGACACTTGACTTACAAATATGGGATGCATAATTTTTCTTGTTTAAATCTTAATTACATTTCTGTTGGCTATTTGATTTAGGCATACACAAATTTAGGCATCAGGAATTAAAGGCTGATGGGCAGAACAAGAACACACACAAAAGGACAAATAAATAGGCCAGATAAGGTTTGGATTCATCCCGTTACATATTTTTTTCTGAAGTGAATCCTCTCATGCCTATTCCACACTCCTCCTAGTTGGCTTCAGCTTCTTCCTCATCCTCCTCCTCCTCGTCTTCCTCCTCCTCCTCCTCCTCCTCACCCTGTGCAGGCCCTCGACCGATCTTAGGACCCTTGCAGATTTTGAGGTGGCGTGTGAGGTGGTATTTAGTGAGAAAGCCCTTGTTGCACTTTTCACAGATGAAGTCCCGTTTCCCGTAGTGAGAGTTCAAGTGTTTTTTGAGATGGTCGGTCTTCAAGAATTGTTTGTCACACTTTGGACAAGTTATCTGACGGTCTCTGGAATAAAGAAAGGAGGCTATTAAAGCAGATAAGAACAAATTATGAATATGACAGGTTTACATGATTCCATATACGTGTAAATCATATTTTTAAATGGTTTTGTCAGGGAAAGTAAAATATTTGGAGAACATGCAACATTCTCCATGCATTTTAAATTCATAATGTTATATATTACGTAAATGTTACAATTACATTTAAATTAATTTATTGCATTTAAATAAAATGTTTCAACAGGAAAAAATTGTAGGATTTGATTGGACTATGAAATGTCAGAATATAATAATAGTTAATATTATTTCTATTAACATTTTCCATTATTACAGAAATACAGCTTCCCGTTGTCAATATATGCCACGAGATTCTGTTCCTGTGTAGTCCTGCAAATAGAGTTGATTTTGATGTTCAACTACCTGATTGTTTTCATACAATGCATGGTTTCAATATAGAGCTTCCTGAAATAACTGACATGAAAATAGTTTTTATGGATGTGGTTACTTTGCTTTCCGTACAAACATCATCCAGTTGCATTCATGCTCATCTGTCGTCACAATACAGAACTCTTGGATGTCATTGTGGAACATCTACATTAGATTAAACGCACAGTGACCTATTAAATCTATTCTTAGGATTACAACATGACATGTAAGTGCAATAGTGAATAAAATGACGTAGATGATGCCATTTAGTAGTACACACTACCTTGCTAATGTTTGAACCTTTTATGATCACCAAGGCTGATTTTTTTTAAATACAGTAAAGACAGTATTATTGTGAAATATTATTACAATTGAAAATTATTGTTTTCTATTTTAATATATTATTTAAATGTGCTCAATTTGCTCTAAAGTTTTATATAATAAAATGTGTTGTTTGCTGAAATAATATAGTCTAAGCAGCAATTATTTCTGCCAACAAAAATGAATAAAAATGTATTAGCATTAAAGCTTTATTTAAAATACATTTCAACAGAAATAAAACAATTTATAGAATATATTATTTCTGCCAACAATACATTTTAATTAAAGTACATACAAAACACAATTTTGTATGTAAAATACAGACTTTGTATTTAAACACTGATTTAAAAATGTAATCATTCATTCATTCATTCATTCCTATATAAATTAGCTTAATTTGCCCTAAAGCTTGATTAAAAATGTATTTTGTCAGATATAAAATATTTAAATATAGTAATATAATTGAAAAATCTATTTTAATGTGCTTAAATCATACTATAAAAATATATTTCTATATATTTATCTATTAAAATATATCCTATTAAACTATATATTTGCCTCAAAAGCTTTATATGCAAATGTATTTCAGCAGAAATAAAATATTTGATAGAATATATTATTTCTGCCAACAAGAGGTTCCGATAGCTCTATAAAGCAAATTAAACACATTAAAACTTATATTTTAATAGACATTTTATTCATAATACTTCATCTTGAATGATTAAACAAACATACATTTCTTTCTGTTTGACACCAAACAGTGTGGCACAATGAATCCAGGATCCTTGCAAAAAGTTGTATATATGTTATACATATGTTAATAAGATATGTTAGTCATTATTATAAGACATTATACCGTATTATTAAGAAATTCTAGATTTGTTGTACATTCAGGGAATTCCTAGGTTCAAAAAAGATTGTCAGCCACTGGTTTATAATGCACCTTAAAGGGGTCATATGATGCGATTTCAAGTTTTGCTTTCTCTTTGGAGTGTTACAAGCTGATTGTGCATAGATAAGATCCCTGAACCTAACCCTAACCCTAAGTCTCAAAACCAAAGAGATATTCTTTATCAAAGTTAAGACTCTGCCACGCCCCCCTAAAACGGCTCGTTCTAACATGCCCCCACATATCTACCTCACTATGTGGAAATATTTGCATAATGCCGCCCAAGCTTGTGGTGTTCGGCCAATCACAATGCACTCGGTCGGCTGGCCAATCAGAGCAGACTGCGCTTGTCAGAAGGAGGGACTTTGTAGAAAACGAAGCGTTTGAGAGCGGCGGGGCATAGAGGACTTACAATAATGTACAGTATTTGAAAAATAATGTGTTTTTTGAACATTAAAGCATGTCAACATATTCTGTAACGCCAAATACACAAAATAAGGATCTTTAAAAGAGCATCATATGACCCCTTTAACATTTTTTTCAGTAACATTACCTGGAAGGATATGTCTGAAGTAGCTGCTCTCCAGGTGTGGGTATGGAGGAGGTGGTAATGTATAATTTCTCTCTGGAAGGCCACACATAACGCCTCTGTCCCCTAAAGGACCCATGGGTAACATCAGGGACAATGCAGAAGGAAGAGGGCCAAGTGATGGACCCAAGCTGGGTATAGCGACTGGCATGCCTGAAATAAAACTGATGTGTTACTTCTCCATACTTCTCTATATATACACACACACATCTTAGAGGCATTTGATTCCTGACCTGGAGTGGTGATGGGATTGTGCGTTGGGGATGTGGGGAGGCCGAGGTGACTTGCACTCACAGGCGGCACGCTGAGCTGGTCCATGCCCACTGGGCTGAGGTTCATGTCATTCATGCTAAATAAAAGAATGCTACTGCATTTAAATTACAAGTCATATATCATAGTGCTTGTGCAGAAACAGACATGTGAATAAACTATGTTTGTTTACCTGACAGCACAGATCACTTAAGGCACTGATGTGATGGATGCATTCTAGGATCTGGAATAGGGAAGGATTCATCTTTTTAGTAATTACAGCAGCATTTAGTTTAGATCACAACATTCCATCATCAGCCTTTTTAAGTCAAGTTTTATAGTCATTCTGGCAATGAATTTACTTGAGAAGCTGTCTTGGTCACACCGATAACGAAATACTAATAACTCATACTAAATACAAATATCTATATCTATATAATTAAAAAAAAATATATATATATATATATATATATATATATATATATATATATATATATATATATATATATATATATATATATATATATATATATATATATATATATATATATATATATATATATATATATATATATATATATATATATATATATATATATATATATATGTGTGTGTGTGTGTGTGTGTGTATATGTATGTAAACGCACATCGACAAGAAATAGCCAGTAATGCAGCCAGAGTTTAGCCAGTTAACTAGCCTAAGAGAAAAAAAAAATAATAATAAATACAAATAAAAATAAAACTAGCCTAAGAGACATGCAATGACAGAAGGTGTTCATTGCAAAGTACATATATTATTTAAAAGACAAACAAATAATTTACCTACTATAAAGAGCAAATATTAATCCTTCCGTGGAAGATTTGTGGTATGAAAACAATAACATGAATAAAGGCAAACAATGAATGTATGACTCAAGGCGGGGTTGTGTTTCAAAATAAGAGTCCCACAAAATGCTCCGTCAATACAAGCATGATGCCAGACTGATTTATTTATTGATTTACCTATGTATTTATTTATTTAATCTATAATATACACTTTTATAGATAACCAATAATAGTGTGGAAAAAAGGTAGAGCGAATTAAAATAAACAAATAGGTAAAATGCCAAATTAGGTACATAAATAATTAAAAATGTATTTTGTACAAGTGGAAATGGCTCTCTTTCTGTCTATATGACCATTAAGGTAAAAATGTTAAAAATTTAAAAATGTTGGGGGGGAAATGGAACATTTAATTTGAAATACATTCGCCGTTTCCTGTGTTCTTACACCGGAACAGAAAAGCGCTGTGACTGTTCGTCTGAAAACCTGCTGTGTAATCTTGCCTCTACAGGCACTAACCAAATTTATTACAAAGAAAAAAGCAGTCATGCCTGATTACTTGGGAACCGAGCAGCGCAAAGTAAAAGAAGAGGAGAAAGAAGACAAACCAATTCGAGGTATTATTTGCGAAGACTTTCGGGTGAATTTTTAATTATATAAATTAGCAGACAGATTAGCATTTATTGACTAGCCACTGTGCAGTTGGAATTTGTCAACAAAAGCCGAATCTACTTAACTAAAACGATTTTAATGTTGTGTCATTCTTTATTTCACGTATTTACTCTACCACGTTCATTATATGAGTTGTCAAATGTCTCAGTATTAGTTATGTCAGTCTGTTAGCCTTATTAGAGAAAGATAAACACGCTGTGTCTGCCATCCTGTAACATATGCAGATCTCATTTTTTTTATCTATCTTGATCTGTGTTTTATTTCTCAGCGTTGGATGAAGGAGATATTGCACTCCTGAAAACCTATGTGAGTATTAGTACTAAAAAGATTCAGATGGCTTTCATTTAGTAAAAGTTACAGCAGTGTTATTTGTAATTAATTCACTTGTTTTTGTTTGTGAATAGGGGCAAAGTACGTATTCCAGACAGATTAAACAAGTGGAAGATGATATTCAACAGCTTCTGAAGAAAATAAATGAGCTCACAGGTAAGTGTGCTGTCATTTCTTTGTGAGGAGCTGATTTTATGGCTTATTACTTTGTAAAACAAATGCATTGATGCTGTATTTTGTGTGTCTTGCAGGTATTAAAGAGTCTGATACAGGTCTGGCTCCTCCGGCATTATGGGATCTGGCTGCAGACAAACAGACTCTACAGAGTGAACAGCCACTGCAGGTGGCCAGGTATGAGAGGACAAAAACATTTTAGTTATTAAGGATTACCCTTAAAGAAATCGATTATTTTCTTATGATATACTACCTTTTTAAACTTTAAAAAAAGAAAAGAAATAATGCTTTTGTTCAGTAGGGATGCATTAAATGGATTAAAAGTGACACTAAAACATTTATAATGTTACAAAAGACTTCTATTTGAATAAATGCTGTTCTTTTGAATTTCTATTCATCAAAAAAAATCCAGATTTTTTTTTATGGCTTCCAGAAAAAATATTAAGCAGCACATCTGGTTTCAACCTTAATAATAAGAAGAAATGTTTCTTGAGCATTAAACTGGCGTATTAGAATGATTTCTGAAGGATCGTGTAAGATGAAGGCTGCTGAAAATTCAGCTTTGATTTAAAATATTATATTTCACAATATTACAGTTTTTCATCTCTTTTTGATCAAATAAATGCAAATTTTGTAAGCATAAGAAAACATTTAATCAAGGCTTTTCAGTGCTATCATATGTAATTAAGTTGTTGAATGTTATGTAGATCAGTATCAGCCATTAAAAAAAACTCATATCTGTGGTTTTATTTGTTCATAGATGCACCAAGATAATCAACTCTGACTCTGAGGATCCAAAGTACATTATTAATGTGAAACAGTTTGCCAAGTTTGTGGTGGACCTGAGCGATCAGGTCGCTCCGACTGACATTGAGGAAGGAATGAGGGTTGGGTAAGCTGAAATGATGGATCAGACATTTCTATATTTCCTTCATTAACAAACTTTTCATCTGGTATTTAAAAGAGTTGCATTCTGTTAACAGAGTTGACAGGAATAAGTATCAGATCCATATTCCACTGCCACCCAAAATCGATCCTACTGTGACTATGATGCAGGTACGAAACCGCTTAAGTTGTTTGGGATCATGTACATTATCAAGGCAACACCACAGGAATAATTATGTACTGTACATAAATAGGTGGAGGAGAAGCCTGATGTGACCTACAGTGATGTTGGAGGCTGCAAAGAGCAGATCGAGAAGCTGAGAGAAGTGGTTGAGACCCCTCTGCTCCATGTGAGTCAGGACTACATACAAATGTACCTATTAAAAACAAACAGGAGGTATTACACGTCTGAAATACTGTTTAAGTTCTAAAATCAATCTCTGTCTTTATAATTCCAGCCTGAGCGCTTTGTGAACCTGGGTATTGAGCCTCCTAAGGGTGTTTTGCTGTTCGGGCCACCCGGTACAGGGAAAACCCTGTGTGCTCGAGCTGTGGCTAACCGCACCGATGCCTGCTTCATCAGAGTCATCGGATCCGAGCTGGTTCAGAAGTATGTAGGAGAGGTACGTGCCTTTTCCATCAAGCTGTTAAAAAAATAGGTGATTTTTATTTTATTTATTTAGTCATTTAGAAGAAGCTTTTATCCAAAGATGATTTAAAGGAATAGTTCACCCAAAAATGAAAATTGTAATTTACTCACCCTCGTGTCTTTCCAAGCCTGTATGAGTTTATAGTTATTTTGAAGAATGCTGGTAATCAAACAGTTGATGGTCCCCATTTACTTCCATAGTATTTCTTTCCCTACTATGGAAGTCAATGGGGACCAACAACTGTTTGATTGCCAGCATTCTTCAAAATATCTTCTTTTAGCTTGAAAAATGTTTATAACATGTTTTTGCTTAATCCAGGGTGCCAGGATGGTTCGTGAACTGTTTGAGATGGCAAGGACCAAGAAAGCCTGTCTGATCTTCTTTGATGAAATTGACGCCATTGGAGGTAAAATTTCCTATTTGCAATAATCTGAGGCTAGTCAGGGTCAGATGATTTCAGCTTCTTTTGGCGGTCTCAAACTGTGTGGCTTGAGGTTCCCATCTATAAGCCAGTCCTGAATATAGTTTTAGAATTCTTAGGAGTATGTTATTAATATTTCCATTCTACTGTGCTACTTTTCCATTGTTTTTCTATGTTTACACAATCTAGATGGACATGTATGATAATTGCACTCAAGTCCTTTGCAGCGTCTGTTGCATGACAGTGTTGTAAAAGTGTGACATTCAAGTTAAAATAATTTAAACTTATCAAACATCCATCTAGAGTGTTTACATAGAAAAACAAAGGAAAGGTAGCACATCTCTGTGTGAATGGCCTCTTATTATATTCAAACAAAGGGATAGTCAACTCAAAAAAGAAAATTCTGTAATCGTTTACTCACCCTCATATCGTTCCAAACTATGACTGATGTTCTTCTGCTGAACACAAAAGATATGTTGGTAGCCAAATAGTTCCTGCTCCCATTAACTTCCCTTCTATGGACAAAAAATGGGAACTACCAACTTCCCAACATTCTTCATAATATCTTCTTTTGTATTCAGCAAAAGAAAGAAATGCATACAGGTTTGGAATGACATGCAGGTGAGTAAGTGGCAGAATATTCCTTTTTGGGTGGAATTTCCCTTTAAAATCTTAGCTTTTGTTTTTGTCTCTAAGATTTTACCTCTATATTAAGTCTGTTATTATGCTTACGCTGCCGTCTTACAGGTGCCCGTTTTGATGATGGAGCTGGAGGAGATAATGAAGTGCAGAGAACCATGCTGGAGCTGATCAACCAGCTGGATGGATTCGATCCCAGAGGAAACATTAAAGTCCTGATGGCCACCAACAGACCAGACACCCTGGATCCTGCTCTGATGAGACCCGGTCGTCTGGACCGAAAGATTGAGTTCAGCCTGCCTGACTTGGAAGTGAGTGGTAGCTACAATAGTGACAAAATAGCTACCATTTACTGGATAAAGATAGACATGTAGTATAATATCACATTCTGATAGATATGTAAATGTAACCATTTGCGCTGTTTCTAGGGACGTACTCACATCTTCAAGATTCATGCCCGCTCTATGAGTGTGGAAAGAGATATCCGCTTTGAGCTTCTTGCACGTCTCTGTCCTAACAGCACAGGTGAGTGCACACAATTTAAATAGACAATATTTGCATAGACCTAAAGGTAGAGGCCTTGCAAGCTATAGTTAACATTGCCGTGTTTTTCTTCTCTCAGGTGCGGAGATTCGCAGCGTGTGTACAGAGGCAGGAATGTTTGCCATCAGAGCTCGTAGAAAAATCGCTACAGAGAAAGACTTTCTGGAGGCCGTGAACAAGGTCATCAAATCCTACGCTAAATTCAGCGCCACCCCTCGCTACATGACTTACAACTAAACTTTTTCCTCTTATGTGCTTTTCCCCACTTAAATGTTAGTTTTTTGCCTGATTACTCAAGGATTCTCATATGTCTTGTCACTTTTCCTGTGATATCAAATGATTAAATAAAAACATTATCCTTACTAATTGTCTTTTTATTGCTTAAGATTAAATAAATATTTTTCCCCTTCAGGTTAGTAGACCTGTTACATGTAATAAATTAGTGATGAATGTAGAAAATTATATAAATAAAAAGGCACTTTTGAGGAATAAATGTTTAATAATTTAGAGTACTGATTTGCTTTTATTATACAAAAATATCTTAAATCCACACCAGCATAAAAAGACAATAAAATGCACCACATTACATGCAGGCGCAACTGATTGTTGAGCTTTGGTCTTCATTACTACAATGAAACAGCATATAAATATTAGTACAGAAAAATCTCAGATCGATGGGTAATTGTGTGTGAACACTTGATTTGAAACAAAAAGTGCTCGGAGTGGACATTTCATAGGCAGCATGTGTGTCAAACATGTCCAAGACAGTCTTAGCCTGTGGACTTTCCAAACTACTAACTACTGTGGACTGTTCTAAAAACACCTGAATTGAATTTAAGAATTTTCGTGGAATCAGCTGTTTCAGTAATCAAGACCGCTTTATGTTAATAATGTTCTTTGTAGCTACAAAAACTAATTGAAATTGCTTCCAAGAACTCCTGGAGCAACCTAGATAAGCCTTTAGCCAAATGTGTCACTGATTGAGTTGAGAAGGGGGAAAACCTAAAACAAACCAATACAATCAATATCTGGCAAGCGTTTTCTCAGAAACATCAGATTAAAGTATATACCATAAAACGAAAAGCAGCATCTTCACCAACAGTGCAATTATGTGATCAGGTCTTTAAAAATATGTAACATATTAGCACTTGTTTTACTGAATACTACAGTCAGATGAAAAACTGCAGACTTCCAAAAATATAAAATAAAAATTAAATACAGCAAAAAGAAAAACTAGAACATGGTGTACAATTGTAAAACTTAATTTCTATCATAAAAATAAGCTTACTGGAATGTCAATATAAAGATTTAAACCAGTGCTAAAAAATAAACACTGGTTAAGAATCCATCTACACTAATTGCACTTAAAAGAACTGAAGGTACAGAGTGTCTTATAGTCGTCAGTAACAAATTGCAGTGGAGCTTGCGATTATGTCTAGTGCAATAAAACAACAGCACCAATCAGATTAAGGTCAACATTTGCTGGTATATTCACATTAAATAAAGTGTTTCCATCTAAAACTTTTTGGCCTGCTCACTGCTAAAACTCTCCTTGTTATCATGACATCCTAACGTGATATCCATCACTAAAGTAATTCATAAGTAACAGTACTTGTGCTCGTTTCAGCACGACTCAATCCATATTCTGCCCCTCTGTTTGGTTTGTGTGTTCACTGGACATCAGGGCAGACGGGGACGTCCCTCGAGCGCTTACAATGCAACACTGCGTCATGAATGGTGGGGAAAATGAGGTCAGGGGTCACGGGCTCACAGAAGAATTTTAGTGTCCTGAGATCAGAGAGCAGAGTCCCTGCACAACACACAAACATATCAAAGATCTTACAAGGATCTAAGAAAATAATTTATTAGTTACATTAATATATAGTAACATTACAAATTAATTGTTGTTAATATCAACAAACATTAGTTTGACTTGTCCACGTGATGGTTTATTAGTTCCAACTCTAGGTGGAGATGTTTGCCACATTCAACAAATATACCAGAATGAACTTTAACCTACATAAAGCATATGAACTCTGGTGGAGTTCAATCATATTATATCATTTTGTATTATATTATTTTATAGAAATGTATGCAAGTATAAATGTAATTAATGACTTACTGCTACATCTATAGCAAGTATGATTTAAAAATATTATATTATATTATATTAAGACACCAAATTGCCCGAAGAAAACATGTCAGACATTAACAATAACAAAACCAAGTTATAAAAAATAAACCATCACATGAGGTTAATCGAGTGGAAAATTGAAAAAAAAAAAAAAACCTATTCAAAGAAAAGAGGTTTGTTTATTATATTATTTATTATATTACATTATATAGAAATGTATACATGTATAAATGTAATTACTTACTGCTACATCCAGCAAGCACAACTTTCACATCGACTGTTGCAAACTCCTTTATCACCTGCAGAACAAAAAGAGGAACCATTTCAAAACATATAACCACAAAAGACTCAATATGGTTTCTACAATGTTGTGGGTGGTTGCCAAGGTGTTGCGAAACAGCTGCTAAGGTGTTCTGAGTGTTTTTAGGTCACTGGACCTATGGTATTTTGTATCCACTGAGCAAATATCATGAATCAGATCACTTAAGTAACAGCACACCCTTTCTCAACAAGCCATGTCATATCAATAGTGCAAACAATAAGGGAAATGTAACATGTTTAGTATTAAGAGTCAGTGGTTTGTTCAAACATCTAACTCTAAAGTATGAGAAAACGTTAAACTGATGCTGATCAATATGCAACAGCGCAACGTGTGGTCTAATGTATTAAGTCAGATCTCACTAATCGGTCTTCAAGTGTCTTCTTTGGAAATAAAAGCTGACGACTTACTGATTTAATGGTTTTGGCTCCTACAGAGTCAATAAAGTTAACAGGAGTAAAGTCCAGTATGATGGTGTGAATGGGGGTTAGACGCTGGAGAAAGAAGTCATCCTCAGATTCAGACTCAGTGTTGCTCTCATTCATCTGGCCATTGGTATACACATGATCCATCTGCTTCTTCGGCCCAGCCACCACCTCACGAGTGACGCCTAGCTATTATTTATTATATTACATTATATAGAAATGTATACATGTATAAATGTAATTACTTACTGCTACATCCAGCAAGCACAACTTTCACATCGACTGTTGCAAACTCCTTTATCACCTGCAGAAAGTAAAGACTAGAGTAATGGCTGCTGAAAATTCAGCTTTGCATTACAGGAATAAAATATATTTTAAATGTAAAATAAATGTACTGTATTTTTGATCAAATAAATGTAGCCTCACTGAGCAAAAACATAAAAAAAATCTTACCGACCAAATTTGGAATGGTAATGTACATGTAATTATACTGTAGAGTAGAGCAGTATGTTAACATGCTATTCCGAACATAGCTCTAATTTTCTATATAAAAACAAAAGTTCCTAGTTACTGTCGGTTGTGCTCATTACGTTGAGGATCTTGGTTCCTCACACAAAAATGCGCTCTAAACAGGCAAACTTGTGAGCTACTGAGGTCACAATCCATCTCTTTTACTGTTGTTCACTTAAGCTTGCCACTTTGCAAAATGTTGCCCCATATTAACTTTCCCTGCAATTAGTGTACTATAAGTCACTTTGGACAAAAGGATCTACTAAATGGCATGTAACTAAGTAACTGTAGGATCTGGACATTCAGCTGCAAAGATTTGGAAATTCAGCTGCAACTTAAAGCCATAGAAACCAAAATAAAGGGCAGCTGAATAAAATCCAAGTCCCTGCCTCTAAGAAACAGAGTCAAATTACTTTGACAATAAAGAATGGGACAGCTTAATTAGATACAGTGTTACATCTATTGTTTTATCACTTCGAACCTAACAAACTATGTTTGCTTAAAAAATATATAACGCAGTATAACACAATTCATATGACATTTACAGACATTTTATTTTATTCTCTACCTGATTTCCATCCACACTGTAGCCATGCTTAAGAGCAAAGGTTTTGGCTAATGATATTGCAATCGAGAAGCCAACAACAGCTATAGCAAAGGCATCTGGGAAGAGGTTAGGAAAGACCGAGAAGTCTGGAATCTTGGGTGGCAGCAACCTTAAAACAAAACATTAAGAAAGAAATATTATAATGTAAACATTTGTAAAAATGTAAACCATTTCAGTTTGGTATATATAAGTAAGCCTGCATGTTCTTACCCTGTGGGAATTTTGCCCACAACTTCTACTCCATAGTTTTCAGACATAACCATCCCATACGAGATTCCAGTGGACACAATTACCTTCAAAGAACAAGAAAATCACACATTCACACAAAGGGATTTTGAGTACATGTGTGAGCAATATGTTTCTTAGGAAGGGCATTTAAAGATTTACCACTATGATTTCTCCAGGGATGGGGATAGGTAGCTTCTTTTTGAAGCGTTCATTGAGATCTTTGATGAAGTACAGGAACACCATACACACCAGTCCAATAATTAGCGTGACAACATTAGTACTTGCAATGTTCCTGAAGACAGCATCAAGACTCTGGGGGAAAACAAAATGAATAGAACAAAGCTATACAACCACAAAAAAACATGATCACTTATTTTAGTACTATTTATATACTATTACAGGAATTTATTATTATTAATATACATTTTTATAGTAAAATTCATATTTTACATTAATGTGACTTTTCAGGGTTACTTACATTTTTGTTTATTTTAGTGATGTTTTTTTAATAATTTTTTTCTGTTTTCACTATTTTAATTTCAGCAATTTTAGCACGTTAACATTTTATTTAAGTTATTTAGTCCATTTTAATTATTCATCTAATATTTAAATTTTATTTCAGGTTTATTTCAATTAAGGAAGCTACTCTTAACAACAACAACTGGCCTTGAAAAGACCTTTATTCATTCATGATTCAATTAATACCTTAAACACCAATGAGAATATGTGAATAAGTGTTTATAAAGTAATGTGAAGCATGTTTATAGGTGCAAAAGTGGCACATATTAACAAAAAGCACCCTAAGGTTTCCCCAGTGTAAAAGTTTACTCACATGCACTACAGAGAGAGGCCCATTGAAGCGAGCAGTGTGCACTCCCAGCAGGTACTTGATCTGTGACACAGAGACGTGCACAGCAGCAGCTGTGGTGAAACCTCGCACCAGCGGCTCAGTGAGGTAAATCGCCAGGAAGCCAAATCTCAGCAGACCCAGAACAAACTATGGGAGATCAGAACAATTATGCTCCCAAACATCAATCTGAGAGTACCTCGGGCTACAGTAACTTTAGGAGAATCACATGAAGTCATCAGCCTGAGCAGGTTTACAATTTTTACAGTTTACAGCCTGTGTGTCAGGAATTTACTTGTATTCCAAGCACAGATACTGGAGATGCACTGGTCTTGATCAACTACAGTAAGGTTCAAACAATGACAAATAAAGATGAATTGAGCACATCAAGAGAGAGAAATAATTAACTAGTTCTTTCTTTGATATCAGACATTATACACGTCACCCTTAATAAAATTAAGAAAGATCATGACTAAATTCTACACTCATTTTGATTTTTAAAACTGCAGGTAAAACCAGATAGCAGCCCACCTGAATGATTCCTACTAGGGTTGTCAGAGCTACAACCACCTCCACTCTTCTGGCATCACGAGCCTCAAAATCCACAACCTGTGACGCGTTGGTCCCGTTGACTGCAAACATGGAGTCCGGGGCCTCCCTTACAGCAACGCCGCCAATCATCAAACTGATTACTGCGAAAGTACCTGAATAAAAATACAATAAAACTTAAAGTAACTGTGCTAAAGTTAAGTATGGCAAAAATAAGCAAATTATTTACTATGTTATAAGCTGTCTTACCAGACATTATACATGCAAAGACTGTCTATTTTTTAACAATAACTACTGTTTCATCATTTAAAACCTCACAACCTTTTTGTGAAATGCTATGCTTAAAAGGTGTGATTGGGCTATTATAATACATGCAACTTAAAATAATATCTGCATTTATAGCTAATAATATCAGATAATATTAGGACCAGTATTTTTTGCAGCTTAAAACATTATAATCTGTATTTACATCTATTATTATTGCATGATCACTTTTACAGCAGCAATTACTTAAGCACTTAAATTTTTTTATGTGCATGCATAAAAAGATACAACCTACTATTTAGCAAGCCTGTTACCATCTAAATCAGTGATGAAAAAGGCCATTTTTAGCCATAGAAAAACAGTGTTTTAGATTAAATCTATATTATTACTATTATATTTTTTATATGATCTTATATATTTAATGCAATGGGATTTATACTATTTAAATTGTGTCTTAAGCCTTACAATGTCATTGTGTAAGAGTAACAGGTGGTGTAATAGCTCTTTGGTATACATTGCTCAGTGGTTCCGTGTTTTATCATGTGAGCAAGTATGTCTCAGTGGATTAATGAAAGTAAGCTCTGCCTTGGACCTTCATCTAGATAAAGCCCTCTGCAACTGGGTCTGTTTTACATTGTCCATAGAGGGACAGAGCGTGAGTGTTGTTTAATCAGGAGGCAACATGCTTCTTTGCAGCAGGACCTTGTCAAATGTTTGAACTAATGCCAATTCTCTTGCTCCCAAGTGTAGCCACAGGAGCCGAGAAAACAAGATGTTGAAGCAACAACTCTGGTTTGGGTAACCTTTTTGACTTTTGAACCTTTGATCTATGTTCTTGGTGGTGTTTCTAATATCCTGCAGGGATTTCTGAGGGTTTGAAGATTCCCACATTAAACAGGAGAAAAACAACACTGCAGGGCATCTACCCACCCATAAAACAGTGTGATGATGTCTGCACCAACACTAATAAGGTTCTCAGAAACGCCACTTTCATTTCCTGCTTACGAAAGAGATTGCAATCAGAGCAGCTTTAGAGCTGTCGACCTGTACAATGAAACACTGACTTCCTGATGAGACTTTGCCACAGGAGTTCAGGAAGTGCTGGGAAAAACAAACTAAGGATTTTAGATCTCATCTAATTGGACTACACTTGTTTAGTCTGGTAGTAATGCTTTGCTTATTAACACTGACTTAGCAAAACTGTACAGAGGAATGTCACATTTCAGTTAGTCACACTCAGACATTTGAACACCCCCCCCCCACACACACACACACATTGCAGCTTAATCTGAGCCCATGTGACCAGCATGTGAAGCAACCAACCGCAGTTTAATTTAATGTAATGCATAGGGTTTGTCTACAAAAAGAAAAGGAAAAAAAAGACAGGTGTAAAAAAAAAAAAAAAAAAAAGTGCATGGCAGTCTCCACAAAGGCCCAATGCATGAAGTCATTGTGAAGTGTCAACCAATCAGATTACAACTTCCCAGACCAAGGAAGAACTTTCAATTTATGGGAGCAATATTCACCAGACGGTAAACGAACCAGCCGTGGGTAGTCCGTCTGAGGCTGAAACAATATTTTAAGTCATAAGCACGTTATTAAAAGCCTGGCATGCACGCCATTTAGTCTCACCTATTGATATATGTTTGGAGGTACCAAGGAATGTGTATAATAGTACGGGATAAAACGATGAATATAAACCAAACACTGGAGGAACAGCTGCCAACATCGCATATGCAAGACCTGTTGAATGTAACAAATCAAAAGAAAGAAATTATCAAATGAATATGCCCATTGATCAATGACATAAAATAAATTCAAATAAAACGAGTAAATGAGTAAAATAAATTAATAAATAAACAACAATATATAGTTAATATTATTTACTATATTTATGATCATTCTTATTATTACTATTAAAATAAATAAAATTACTGCTACTACTAAATAGATACATTTAATAAGATTTTAATATAATTATTCATTTTTAATATTAACCAGTTTTCAATAACATCTGACCTTGAGGTAGCTGCATTACACCTGTGCTGATGCCAGAAACTATGTCTCCAAACAAGTATTCCTTTAGTGGATATGATGGCAGCCATGTTAAAATGGGCAGGAAACCAAATACAACAGATTTGGCTTTCTCAGAAGAACAGCTGAAAAATAAGAGAGAGATGACTATTAGTATAAATATGTCATATGATTTTATTGTGCATATAAAAATTCTGCAAACAGTAAGAGCGGAGGAGAAGATTATCAGTTAATGACGACTTAAATTATAGTCCGCCTTTGTCCGTTAGGAAACTGAGTCATCAATTTATCCAGCTCAGATTGGGACAAGCAGGTTTAACAAAAGTAATGTCACAACTGTTGTGTAATACTAGTAGTCCTGCAATATAATATGGAGGATATGATAAAATAATAAGACTGTCATAAATGAAAAACTGTTGTTTTATCAGTCCAAGCTGATTTTCTAAAGTTCAGATAACACTTTAACCTGATCAAATTGTTATAGTTCAAAAATACAGCCAAGAAAGTCACAATAATGTGAAATAAGACATTTGAAAACATTTATATATTTAGTGGGGTCCAAAAATCTGATACCACTAATGCTTGTATTTAGTTTTGTTTTTCATTACTACTAAAATCATCAGAATAACAATTTGAGTGAAAAGTTGAACTGAAAAATGAACACGAATGTCAGAATGTGTTTGGTTTGCCTCACTTTTGCTTTAAAGATTCAAACTGCATAAACTTCACAAGTGTAAAACTGATGATCATGCCCTCATGGATGATTTGAGAATGATCACCTTGTGCTTCACTGGATCTTATCGTCTGTACAAAGAGTTGCATGATCAATGTCACAAATTTGCTTGTATGATTAGTGACCAATAATACATTACAGAATATTTCTCAATACAGTGTCAGACTTTTGGACTCTACTGTAGCTCAGAAATAAACACAGACCTATCATCAGTAACAAAGCAAGCACAATGTATTGAAATAGCCCTACCGGAGATGCTCAGCTATTCTCCGTTGAAAGGACTTGGGTGTCCTCTTCTTCCTATGCAGAAGCTCTGAGTCAATATAGCCTTCATTGAATATGGGACGTTCCACGTGGTACATCAGTGCGGCGGACGGTTCCTCACTAGCAGTTATGTGCTCCATAGCAGCGGTGGAAACACAGGCATGTCAGGCTATGATGACCTTGTGAATGCACTCGTGTACTTGCTTTACTTCCTCTTCCTGTTTTCAATGAATGGTAGAAAGAGAGCACTCTGTGAAGAAAGAACAGGGCTAAGAATCAACTTCAAACAAATGTATTTAATTCAAGCATGTTTTGTTGATCAGCTATTAGGTATCACACCGACAACCCCCTTGGTTTTATTTGGAGACTTGCAGTAGTCAGACTCTGCTGGTGTATAATTACAAGCCCTCAAAATAATCATGAACAATAGCCAACTTTAGCCCGTACAGAGATGATCTATCATGCAATAACATACTGGATATTTAATATACTTAAATGCTGCATCAAAAGCAAGCACAAAGAAACCAGCCTGCAAACCTATAAAATAACCTGCAGAAAAGAATAAATAAATAAATAAAAACTAAATCTGATAAATATGTTTTGCCTTTTTTAATAATAATGATGATAATAGTTCATTTTATCTATTCAGGGAAACAAAAAAAAGTTGCATGAAAATTACAGTACATGGTTTTATGATTTAATGTGTCTAAAACACAACCTGTCCTGAGGACACAGTGTTCAGCTTGAGCAATAACAACCTATCCATGGATCCAGTCCATTTTTAGCACAGTCCTCTGCAAATCACAAGACCATAGTAAAATGAAACGTACTGGAAGTGACTGATGCCAGTGGTGTAGGCCAATGTTGACAAAGCACTGATATAAACATTACAAACGACACAAGTTAAACCCATGACATGCAAGGGTCATTCCGTGAAACGGCTGTCTTATCCATTTTGAAAAGGTTGGTTTTTAAAGTTTTTAAAATATCTGGTCACAAACAATGGGGTTAAGTGTTAAGAAATTGCATTGTGTCATCTCAACTTAAATGCAAAAAATACAACAATGATGTAAAGCTAAGTAACAGGGATGACGGCATCAGAGTTGCCAGTTTTACAGTTGGCAAAACATATGAAGTGATCTTCATCAATTTATCTTATGTTTTGTTTGGTTTGTCAGGAGACACTAACTTGTCCTTGAAATGTTCACATCCTAAATAAATTATATCAGTATTCCATTTTATTTATATGATTTACTTAATATCATGGTGCACAACTTGGGGACACAACTTTGAGTCTTTTAGTAAAGTAAATCTGAAATAATAATAATAAAAAAAATGTGTTGTTTTATGTAGTGCAGATTTAAATAAAATTTGCATTTTTGCTTATACATTCAGAAAAAGTAGGATTTACAGGGCTAGGGACAGACTGAAATGCATTCTCCTGAAAGAAGACGAAAAAAAGCATTGAAAATTAAAGTTACTGGATTTCATGGATTTGAAAAGATGCATTTAGAAAAATGTCTATAACAGCACACAGTAAACGCTGCTTTTAGCTATCCATCGTTAAAGTCTTTGTTTACACGTTTTTGAGGAAACATAAAAAGAACAACCAAACAGCATCTGACATATGCATATGTCAACAGCACAGTCCTGATGTAATGACAAAGCGACTTCCAACATCGAACGTGTCTTTCTGCCACCCTCTGTTCCCTCACACTTTTAAAAACACAAGGAAACCAGAAATAAACATTTTTGGAGAGCGTCCTCGTTCTTCTCCACCCTACGACTCCACAAACCTGTTAAGCAGGTTGAATATAGTGTAACTAAAGCGCTTTGCGCATTTATTGTAGTTTAAAGGAGGAGAAAAACGCCTAAGCATCTTACCTCTCACCGCCTCAGTCCTGAAAATGACCCAAGGTCGGTGAACTGAGCTGAGAAGAGCGTGAGCATCGACAGTCCTGTTACTGTTTAACATTTGAAAGCCCTTTAACTGCCGACTACAGCTGCGTCATCCGCTGCGCTGATAAGAAGAGCGCGACGTACCTCATGCGTCACTACTTACGCCAGAACAGCATCATGGGACATGTAGTTCTTCACTAACTCAACCGTATCAGATAAACGAGATAAATACTGTTCATACGATATCCGGTAGATTATAGAGAGATTGTTAAACGCGTAATTATAGTTTTACAAGTAATTATGATCAGAAACAAGCGCATTTTATACTAAATAAATAATTTTCTCTGATATAACAATGCAAGGTTGTAAATGCAATGTAAGCGCGCCATCTTGTGTAACAACTATGCAACAACAAATAATTCCAAGGTAAGCCATCATGTGTATTTCGACAGTCTTAGCTGGTTGAAGCTGGTTAAATATATTATACACACAAATTACAAAGATGTTTTTGATCGTTTTAAGGTGTTTATTTGTTTATTTTTTTTAATGCTCCAAATAGCTTTGCAGTACCTCACACTATACAATTTTACATTTCGAGTTAAATTACCTAATAGACTTTGGGCAAACTGGGACAGATTCCAGGTTTCATCAAAAAGATAAAGAAAAAGAAGAAAGAAAAGCATTAATATGAAAGAATTTTAGTAAAATCTCATTTCTGATATCTTAAATCAAAATATAGCCTATCACAATCACAACATATCCTGAAATTATGTCACGACTGAACAAGCCTTTTTGAGTCATTCCATGCTAATTTAGGATGAAATTGTATACCATCATCATCATAATCGTCACCATAATAAGGATGATTACACTGTCCTATGTAGTCACCCTTGCGGCCTTCGCCTTAGAGCTTCAAATAGTCAGAATCACGTTACACTTTTAAAAATAGAAATATTAAAATGATCTTACCTGTAGAGAAAACGTCAAGGTTTAAAACCCCAAAATCAGCATCTAGACTACTGTCTTTACAGCTATAGCGTTGCTCTGGCACATAAAACAAGAAAACATATAACAGTGGTGCACTGAAGCTCCTCCGTGACAAATGACACCAGTCAGTCGAAGACTGCACATCCTGGAGTTTTGAAATGCTATTTATAGGTTAGCTGTACAAGCCCATTGAATTTATTGCACAGAAATATGGCATTGCAATACTGATTACAATGTTTTGTGCAATCATTGAACAGAGAGGATGCCATGCCATGAACCTTGTTCTGTCCCATTTCAACTCCAGAAGAACCATTTGTTCTTAGTGGGAATAGCATTTTAATAATCTGTACCCTTTTTCACTATAAAAAGCATTTTATGCAATGCAAAGGTTTTATGGATGTTAAAGGTTCTTCATGGAACCACAAATTCCAACAAAGAACCTTCATTTTAAATGCAGGTGGGGTTGTGAGGGGTGTCCAGGAGGGGTCAGCACCTCCATATCAATTCAATAAGAGGATAACTAGTTCGTTAAGTATATACAGTGAACAAATAATCTTTACAGAATATTATAGAGTATGTTTTGCTCGGTCGCACCTTTAAAAAAGCCTCAAAGGCTCTCACAGGTGACTCGCATAGTGGAAAAGAAGAAAGGAAACGCCCACTGGTGCTTCTAGCGTTCATGCGATGGGTGTTCGGCTTTCTCCGAGTTCATTGACTGCTGATCAGGAAATGCCTTTTAAGACACAAACCCAGATTCAAAGCGATCTATGCGTTCTTGTGATTTTAGTCGCTCGAGGGTGTTTAATGATCATAAAGAGACTTGACGAGACGTTTTAGAAATAGCCGAGCGAATGATTTGATTCTGCAGGATGAAAATCTAGACAGATCATGTTAGGTGAACGCTGAAGGTTTGTAGGTGAGAGACATCACACACCTTTGATCATGCCAAGAACGAAAAGCGACGAGGAGTTCACTTTCGTCAGTCCAGGGGTGAAATATTTATTTTTCTTCTTCAACATGATATTTTGGGTAAGTGTTGCTCATATTATATTATATTATATTATATTTAATATTAGACCATTTTTTTAACACTTTTTTAAAATAATGTACACTATATTATAGTACATTATGCACACACACACACACACACACACACACACACACACAAAATATACTCTTTATATATAAGAACAAAAAGACTAAATACTGCATAGTTGTTTTTAACTCCTCCTCACATGATGTGGTTTAATGATTGATGTTTTACCAAATTACCCTTCAAACTCCTACTTTTTAATCCACAACCACGAAGCAAGCTTTGCATTTAGACAAACAGAATTAATGTACTTAGTTGACGTCCAGACTGACTAATGGTCAAATTAGTCTAACAGAGATTTAAAAGCAGCTTGACCTGTATTCATAAAGGCCAACCTGCTTTAATGGAGTTTAGTTTGAACAAACACTAAAAACATCACCCATGGGCATGTCTCAACACCAATGTGTATTACTGCACCTCAGGCTAGATTCTCAGAATACCTCGAAAAACACAGAGCAGTTCATGACACACCGTACAGGAGTGCCTGCCTGCATTTTGCATTTTCCCAATAAATTGGGCCTGCTGTGCAATAAGATCTTTCTAGAATAATAATGAGTTAGATCTCATCAACAAAACCCTCTTTTGTGAAGTTCTTGATAGTGCCAGTTTACGTTCCCAAACTTTTTTAAACTTGTGGCTGTTGCTAAGCAGCGGGTCTCATTGATTCATATGCTGATAGAGCGATGCAGGGTGTTTGGATGAGTGGGGGCCCCATGCTTCCTTTATTTGTTGCCCTGTAGCATTTACTGAATAATAGACCTTAAATGAATAACACCTCTTCAGAGGGAGAATCAGACACCCAAAATATTTCAAACAGGCTTTGATACTTCAGTTGTTTGCAGAAAGGCATCAAAATTACTATTAAGCTCCTAACAGTTTATATGGACAGCTGACTGAGATATTAGAGTGTATTGCATTCTTGCTGGTGCAAAAAATGCACATGCAAATACCTAAGGAGATTTCATGCTCAAAGCCTCAAGAACAACTTGGTTTTTACTATAATGCAGTACAATACTGAGAAATTGCTGCACTGTACAAAAAAAGGTCAAAATCATCTTGTTTCAGTGTTGATCTGTGCACATTTGTGCTCCTTTTAGTGGTACAAATTGTAACTTAGATCGGCATAGCGTAGAGATTGTTTCCTTACTCTTATAATTTGACAGTTTTGGGGGGGGGGGGGG